CTCTCTACGATTGATTATTCAGACAGCTGAGAAAGAAAAACGATAAAGAATTCAATCACTTGCTACTATACACCGAGATTTGCTTGCTTTCCAAGAGCTTCTGTCTCAATAGATATTGGAATCTTTTTGATTCTATGCTTGAGTTCCTCGAAAACAGAGATGTAGCTCTGAGAGACAGATTGCTAGAATTTAAGAAAGACTTTGACAGATTTATCTGTAAAATTTAAGGGTGATAATTTGCATCTTCAAGGAAACGAGCTCAATTTGATCCCTACAAAATCAGTTATTTCTGCCTTTCTAAGAAGACTCATTTCGTGGAAGCAGAATTTTAGTTGGAATGAGTTCAGCCAAGCAGGTGAAATTCACTCTGATGACGCACAAGATTATTGTCAACACCATGACTCTTTGTACATGAACTTTTCTGATCGGTTTAAGGATGTTTTGTTCCCTAGAAGTGCCTCAATGGGTTTATGGGTTCTGAAGCCTTTTGCGAATATTGAAACAGCAGAGGTTCAGATTTACGAGGAATTGGTTGAACTTTTAACTAAGTAAACTTTGAAATGATGATCGTCTCACAGAATTTTTGCTTAAAGGTAACATCAGTCGTCTCTATCCTGGACTGTAGACTATCATTAAAATTTTTTAATTGCCTCCCCCTAGCTTGTCGAACGTGGAATCAATGTTGTTACAGATCTTATCACAAAAAGGAGAAATCGACTCAAAATTGTGCAACGAGGGGATTAGTGTCTTCATCTCACTAAAAGTATTGAGCCGACCGTTAAGAAATTGGTTCTGAACCATTAAGTTCAATCATCCCACTAACATAGTTACTTGAATGTTTCGCTGATACTACTTTTTAGTGTTAAAAATCATTTTTGTTGTTTTTTTAATTATCTAATTGAGAATAAATTATTTTTTTAAGCATAGGTTTCTTTGTTGCATTTTTTTCATTGAACGTATTTATTTTTATTATAACAAATAGACTGCGATTACCTGCCGCGAGAAAATTATCGAGTTAATGAGCACATTATATTTTTTAAAACAAATTTAAAGCGTAAAGAAATTAAAATTTTGCTTATAATTCAGCACACCTCCCTACGTCCCCATGCTCTAAACAACTGCATTTTCACGAAGGGGGCGTTGATATATTTTTTGCTCCTAAAGGGGGCGGCAACGTTAAAAAGGTTGAGAATCTATGATCTAAAACGTCACGATTATCAAACAATTCATGCTGTCAATCATGATTGAACAATCAAACCACATGATATGATCCTCACTAATTATTATTTTCGATTGTTTTTATCAGAAATAGTATAAGTTTTACTTTATTTATGTCGCATTAGAGCTGGAAGATAGGCTATCGGCGAAGTTTGGGAAACATCCCTGAAAAGGATCCGAAGATCACATTTTTGATCTTCTGTAGCGAGGATGGTTACCCCGTTTAGATAGCTCGAGGACCTGTGAGTGAAGTCGAGCACTTAACGGTAAGAGCAGTTCAAAGAAGACCGACACCGAGGTCTACATACATTTCTTTAATAAATTTTATTTTTTAAAAGTTGCTTTTGATAAACCCTAATAAATGAATGAATTTTAGTCCTAGTGATTTAACTTTACTAGGTACATGGGTCGCGAAGCGGCCCCTATTCCATTCATCGTGGAACCGTAGTTCTATTTTGGTTGAAAATTGAGGGAATCATTTAGTGGGGTAGCTTTGGTGAATGCTTCAAGCACTTTGCTTGAATAGTAAAATGAGCAGCTTGCTCTACACTATATTTGTTTGAAGTTGTGCAGAATTGAATCAGTATGTGGGAACGATAATTGCAGATGGGTTGGCGTAGTTATTATTATTTGTTTTTGATAATGAATGAATTTACTTTACTTTTGCTTCAGAAATATATTTTTCTTAAATATTCAATTATTGCTATTTCATATTTCATTTCTGATATATAAAAGTTGATTTACATTAATTTGGCCATCGAGATCTATCAACAAATAAAACAAGTATGTAAAACCTGCTAATAGTGAGAGGAAGTTTTTAAGGGATTGCAATATTAAACCAACTAATCCATATTGATATTACACCAGCACTTTAAATAGAGGGGAAACCTACAACTTCTGCCTCGGTAAATTCTCGGTTAATCAATTAAAAAAGTATCAGGTGTCCTACAGTTTCTAGAAAACTTGATGATAGTTATAACGAAAATAAGACAAAGTAGGGGAGAGGGGGGCACATGTGAACAA